TCTCTCTCTCTCTCTCTCCCAAACTGTTGTCAACAATTTTTTTGTTAGTTTTTTTTACTCAATTATTATTTTGAAAGATAAATAAAAGTTAAGTTCCCTTTAATTCGTGACACTTATTGAGAAATACGTGAATTGAATTCAATTTCAAAACTACTTCCCATTTAACGGCAAATAATGCAATGAATTAGCGATTAGTGTTGTTATGCATTATATTGTATACTTGAATAGAGTATATGATAGGACAGTATAGCCAACCCGGGGGTCACTGTCTTTACATTTCCCCCTATTTTTACGATATGACAATATTTGGAGGAAAACTTATCATTCAATTATATTTTCAATTATTTTACAAATATTACAATCAATTTATGATATTTTCATTTAATTTTGTAATTAAAAAATATTTACAAAGTTTTTAATACTGTATTAACAGTCTAAAATTATAACGGATATGGCTATTTAACCATGATAGTACTATTTGGTTATATAACCCGATTTAACAATGTATTAAGGCTGGAAACCAATTGTCAATTGAAACAAAAAAGTTACAACAAGAAATAGTTTTGAGATTTGAATTTTTACATTTGTATCATTTGTTGTATTGCTTTAAAAGTTTTAAAGTCTTGGTTTAAGTGGTTATTTGCAAATATGTTGTCTTAAGTGTTAAAAAGTAATTTTGCAAATATTTCATAACCAATGAGACGGTGAGACAGTGAATGTCTAAACCATTTCTTTGGTTGTGTTGTAAACAATAATTTTAAAGTCAAACCCAAAGCCAATGCATAACAACGTTATGTAAGGTATGAACCGGTCGTCAGTTTTCGGTGTTGTGTTGTGTGGAGTGAATGGAGAAGTCTTTGCCCTTTAAAGGCCTTGAAATGCATTACTATTTGTTTACATCGCTATTGAATAACATGTTTGTCTCTAAAGCTCATCAATTCATTCAAAATAATTAATACATTTTTTTTCGTAACAAAATTAAGGTTTTGTGTGAATTGTTATGAATTGTAGTGTAATATCACATGTGATTGTATTGTGAGAAAAGGGATCACAATATTGTGTTTTTGACAGCAATTCAATGCTATGTTTTCGATATAATGGACTCAATCTCTACGAAACGTGAACTCAATTTAAAACCCAAAACAGTTGTCTTCATTCACATCAATGTTTAGCTGTGTTTTTGTTTGACTTAATTGTGTTAATCATGTTTTGTTAATCGTTTTGATTTTATGCCCACTTATTGTTTGCAAAATCTAATCGTTATTTTAGGCCAAATGAGTCTTCAATTGACTGTAATTGCATTCATTGGCCTTTTGTGGGCCAATACTAGCCATGGATTAGATGGACCTAATGTCTGCACCAAAGAGGAAATGTGTGTTCAATTCATTGGTTATGATTATCGACGAACTCATTGTTGTTTTTGAATCGGTTCCGCAGATTCCCACAAGAGGTGCAAATCCCAGTGCAGGTGCCGTATGAGGTCCGCACCATCGGCTGGTGTCTCGCCGTCCCTCCCAGATGTCGAAAGACTAAGTAATTAACACTCTTTTCGTCACTTAATTTACACCTTATTTTACCGTTAATTTCTATAATTAGTAAATTAATGTATCATTAAAATAGTTATGATGTCTATTGTCTGTATTGAATGATCCTTTATTTGTGGGAATTTTTAAATTTTTATAAACGCCTCCAAATGTTTATCATTATCTAAGGAGGAAATCATTAGTTTTCATCAAAGATGAGAGAGAGAGAGAGAGAGAG